GACCTACGAAGAAATGATCGTCGCGTCCGCGGACCACGACGACGAGCACCAATACAATGAACTTCTCCTCCTCCGCGACTACGAAGAAGAACTGGCTCAATTTCAAATCTACTGCCAAGATCTGTGGAGTTGGTTTCAATATATGTCATCATGGGCACCTTTTTGCTAGACCACCACCTTTTTTGGTGCAATGGTGGAATAGTGGGGAGGCAGTCCTAATCCTGTAGCTGGCTCTCTAACTATCGCAATACATCGTGTCCAACGCCACGGTATAGGTTGCGAGATTTGCAAGGGTCAATATATGTCAAACAGTGCAAAGTAAACATTAGATGCAACAACATTAACAGCTACAACTACATGTAGCCGTCAGTGCTTGTGCGTTTAATAATTAATTCATGACTGAAGACATTGTATCATAGTTTTGTCTTTACCTGTCGAATTGTGCGAGTGCACTTGTATCGTCTGCTGCGCACATCGACTACATCAAAACTCCTTCCGGGACTGTCCAGAACATGCCTGCAGAATACCTATCATCTGCTTTCTTTGCGGTATTCCTCCGGCGCCATCGCTGCAGCTTTCTTTGCACAAACTGTTGCTGCAAGGTCGGCGCCTANATCGACTACATCAAAACTCCTTCCGGGACTGTCCAGAACATGCCTGCAGAATACCTATCATCTGCTTTCTTTGCGGTATTCCTCCGGCGCCATCGCTGCAGCTTTCTTTGCACAAACTGTTGCTGCAAGGTCGGCGCCTAACCTTCATGTGCAAGCTTTATGACAACATGCTACGCGACATTCATGTTCATCCACCACTTGGTATTACCGCATCCCTTTCAACAACTACACCTACCTCTAATTCTAGCCTCTACTGAGGACGGGGGGGCCGTTGGCCCCCGCGTCCGGGGCCCTTGTTTGTCTATGAATAATAACACTGCAGCTTTCGGTTAGCTTTCGTTTGAGCACTTCAGCGTGCCGATTGGCACACGCAGCCCCGAGCTACAGCAACGCGCCCACCAGCAGTCTCGATGCGGCGCATCTTCGGCCTGTCAGCATGGGTCGGTGTAGAGTGAGCGCGGAGGCTGCTGCGAAGGCCTGTGAAGCGGTCCGCAGCGGTAGCATGTCACGCAACGCTGCTGCTGCTGCCTACGGGGTCAACAAGACGTCGCTCTCGCGGCGGCTGAGCGGTGAGTGTGCCATGAACGCGCCAGAGGGCCCCGGGACTGTCATGACCGCGCAGAGGAGGATGCGCTTGAAGATGTTCTGCTGTACGCTGGTCGGAACTATATTCCGCCTACCACCGCAGACCTCACGGAGCGTGTGAGACAGCTCTGCAACGACGGTCGACCGATCCCATCGACCCATGACAAGGGCCCGGGGAGGAGCTGGCTTGAGGCTTCCTCGGACAGCACGAGCGCATCAGCCTTCGACTCGCCCGCATCTACGAGCCTAACAGGGTGACCTCCGCGGAAGATGAACGTCTGCACAAGTTCTACGACTTCTGGGGTCAGTTCCTCGACGAGCACCAGCCGGCGGCCGACCATGTCTGGAACACAGATGACTCAGGTGAGCAACACAGGGTAGTGGTGTGGTGTCGGCAGTAGCTGCTGTGTGACGATTGTGAGCTTGTTTCTACATTTGAGCTGCTGTGCACGACGTGAAAAATAGGCAGAGTTCTGCAGCTGCTGTAAAAAAAAAATCGAGTTTTCCCGCAGCGCGTGGTCTCCGCGGAGGCCACGGACCGGTCGCCCCGGTGGTCTATCTAGCGGTATCTTCTTGAACCGCTAGTTGCAGAGGTCGTGAGTTCGAATCCCTACGGAGGTGAAAAAAATTGCAAACTCTGCGGGTGAAAACGAAACTTGCTAAAAAGATCTCGTGAGTACCAACCTTCGACGCTAGCACCGTTGACGAGGGAAGAGAGGGACGGCTGGGGGCCCTTCCCGCGATAAAAATAAAAAAACCCTGGTGTTGTTTTTACCCTCCTGTGTGACCCTGGAAGGTTGTAGTTGTACGAAAAAATACACTGACTGGATGAAAAGTGTAGTACTCTACATACGCTGACAAAGTGTAGTACACGTCTCACCACGAAAAACGGGGGGACTGTCGCCATAATAAATAGGACGAAAACACACACAACACACACACTGCTACATGAACGTAATTAATTGCTGTCGTTTACGCTGGCTACTGTTTGGGATCCTTGTTCATGTCGGCAGTATGCACACACGTTGCTTCAAGAGCAGTTTCGCATGCTGATACACATGATTTTTGTGCAGCACACACACGGAATTGATGTGTTGGAAGAAGAAGCTTGTCGCGGTGCTGCTGGTGCTGGTGCTGGTGCTGCTGGCGCTGGTGGTGGTGCTGCTGCTACACTACTGCTGCTGCTGCTGCTGTGCGTATCTTTCTCACCTTCGACCAGTCTACAGTAGCAGTGGCCCCTGTGTAGACTTTTTTTTCCTCGAGGCTCAAGACGAGAAGGCTGTATGTGTTCTAGACTAGTGTGATGGCCCCAGCTCTGCAGCTGCGCCGGTACATTTTGCATGTNCACCCATTTTAGGCTGGACTTTGGTGGTGCGTGAAAGCGCTATTATTGTCCCCTGTACTTAATCTCCTATTGCTTCTCCCGCTTTGCCGCCGCAAAAAATCATTGCAGGTGGCACCGTTCAAGGTACGCAGGGACAGCGGGTCGTGGCGGAACGGGGGCAGCCGGTGGCCGCCCAGATGCGCTCCATCCACCTCGTGAGAGAACTGCACGATCATCACCACCATCAACGCCGCCGGCGCCGGGTTGGCCCCTACCATCATCTTGAAAGGGCAACGCTTCAACAACAGAGATTGGGTCGCGGATCTCAACGGCCCGCCGGGTGCGTTCTACGACTGCACGGAGTCGTCCTTCATGTGTGGTAAGGTGTTCATCAAGTACATCAAGAACTTCCACAAGCAGCTCGGCGACCGCAACTTGCTTGACGGAAAAACCCCATGTGCTCGTGCTGGATGGGCACGCGTCGCACGTGAGCTCGGACGTCATAAAGTTGGCCATCTCCCTCAACATCCACCTCGTCCAGCTGCCCTCCCACATGTCCCACATCACCCAGCCCTTGGACGTCGCTGGCTTCGGGTGCTTCAAGAAGGAGCTGGCGAAGGTGATCCAGGCCTTCCCGGCGAGAAACGGAGGGGCAATACCGCGGAAGCGGGACATGGCCGGCAGGATCGGGCTAGCGTGGGGCCCGAGCTTTACGCTGGAAATCAACCAAGCTTCCTTCGCCCCTGTGGCCGGTGGACAGGGAGCGGGCACTCAGCCGGCTGCTGCTGCGCCCGAAGAGGAATGTGACGGAAACCGACCGCCCTCCCCTGGAGGACATTCCCATCGCCGTCACCAACGGACGTCTGGAGGAGTGGATTAGCGACCGCGGCGGCCGCGCGCTCAGGGCAAAAGGCCTCACCATCACGGGACTTCGCGTGAGCACGGTGGTCCTCGGCAACTTCCTGCCCAACAAAAACAAACGTCCCAAGGGCCCGCCCACGCGGGCGAACTTGGGCCGTCCAGCGGGAAACCTCCTCTCTGCGCCGGAGTGGGTGGCGGAGCAGGAGAAGAAGGACCGCGAGATGCAGGCTGCCGAGGCCACCAAGGCGGCAAGCAAAGGCCGCGGNCGAGGTGGGCAGGAGCGGGGCGCGGGGGGGGTAGGGCGCAATGTTGGTGGCCGCAGCGAGGGAATGGGGGGGCGCGGGCGTGGAGGCGGCGGTTCTGGCCGCGGTGGGAGAGGGGAGGGAGGGGCGGGAGGGGTAGGAATCACCGGGGGTCAGCGGTCGGCGGCTTCCGTATCTCGATCGGGACGAGCCCACAAGCCGACACCCGTAGTGGATGTGTAGGTGTTTTCGAGGGGTGTTAGCTGTGCACAACCACGCTTGATCGAGAAACCCTGGGATGCTGTACTCTTGTCCCCTGGGCTCGGCGTGTTTTTTTTTTTTCGTTTCTAACGTGTTTTCTGCAACCTTCAGCGCGTTTCTGTCAAACGGCGTGTGGTGGGGGGTTCATATGGGTGCAAAATGGTTGCTTGAACTCTTCGCAGATTTCAGGCGGATTTTGTTACCGTCCAAGTCAAAAAAGGGGGAAAAGTACCCACCCATGGTTGCACAGCCATAACATCGTCTGTAGCTCTCGTTTGTCGTATTTTTTTTTTTGTGACTTAGAATAGGATGCCCACGAGTCGTCCGTGCATCAGAATACGACGGTTGAAGCGTTTCATGGCAAAATAACGCGCGTTATCCCCCAGAAGAGTATTTTCCGCCCCCGGTAATGAAGCCGCAAAACCGGGGATACAGGCATTTTGTCCCCGGGTGTGGACCGTTTTTTTTTGTTTGTTTTAATGGAATCTACATTATATGGCCAGCTCGTGTGCCAAATTTCAGGTCTTGAAAAGCCTTAGAACCTGCGTAATCGGTCACTACCCGAAAGTGGTCCATAACAGGGGCACCGTCATTTTTCCCGCATTTTTTTCTGGAAAATGAGGTATAGTTCGAGGGCTACAGTTCATCGCCACTTAACTTTTTCTCAAAAATCACTATTTGGGCTGGTAGGGCGTGCTCTAAGCTATCATCCGATACCCCAACCTCTTCATAAATCATCGTGACGCCAGAGAACGAGCTGCCTGAGTGGGGGGGGCTTAGGTGGTACTTAATTGGCACATTAATATACTCTTATGTATCGCTTCGTATCTATCCCAAGAGTGACTCAATTCCGGATCTAACTGCATCGATCATCGGGCGTGAGTCATTCGCACAGAACAATGATTCGAGTCAAGTGTGGTCCGTGCCGGTTTATTGAATGAAGTGGTAGTACAGAAGGTTAGGCTCGGCTAGGCGAATTCCAGACTTTTACCAGTACCTGGTACGTTGTTGCATCCATGTTTCATTCCAGACCTCACGGGTTTGTGACTCAAGATCGGATGTTGTATCGTGTACATACACGTGTTGAATGGGGTGGACGTCTTCACGTTTTTCTGTCAAGACGCTCACCAAGGGCTTGGAGCAAACAGAGGAAGTACACAAAAGCTTCAAGGCCGTTTAGTGGGAGTAGGTCCAGCCAAACTTCCTTTGTTGTTCTAAGACGTCAAATGGCGGTGCTGTTCGGAGCACATCTATCTGGGCAGCTTAGGATCTGTTTAACGTGGACGCCCGCCCAAGCATGTCGGCTTGGGCAGAATACGGTTATCATGCACGAAATTGATCCGCATCGTGGAACTGCACGAACGTTCCATCACTTTGTCTTGTTTATATTTTTGTCAGCACCTGCTTGCTCCATCCAACTCCTAGCTTTGCGCGGCAACGGCCAAAAAGTAGTTTTAACGGTTGGTGGACTCTGTCACGAGCTCTCATCATCCAAACCAACCACAAATCACACGAGGGTGCTACACATTTCTACCAGAACTGTAAATTGAATCCGTTCTCGCAAATCATTCAAGCCTCTTTTTGTGGAAACACCCCACACCTCTAGTGCGCTTCATGAAGCACACCAACAGCAGGTTAGATCACCCGAGTCGAGCAAAACTTATAATATTGTTGACAGCACAACATGCCGATCTTCTTCCATTTATTTGTTATTGCCATTCAGCCTGTACCCCCCCCCCCCCCCCCCCCCCCCCCCCCCCCCCCCCCCCCCCCCCCCCCCCCNCCCCCCCCCCCCCTCCCCACAGCTACCGGCACCCTGCACCTCTTGCTTCTGCAAGTGCTACTAGCGCCCACGAGTAGCAGCAACTTCGGACGTGACTCGATAACCCGCTCAGGAAGGAGTGCTGTTGACGATGTATGGCATGTACCGCGCAACAAGCGTACGGCTTTCCCTTTCCCTTTCCCTCATGCGACTGACTACTGTCTCACGCACACTCCGTTTTTCCACCGTCACCACCGCGTTATGTACGTCGTCTGCTGCAGGAATTTGTCTCCGCCAGCATTGACGAAAAAAAAAAAACTCGGAGCTTTCCATGGCGAATTGATTCCAACTTCGCCAGAGGGATTTGTTCCGACATCGTTTCCGGGGTAACCCATTGTCACGTCAATTCTAACAAAACTGCTGCTGCTCTTGTTCACCTGGGGGACTCAAACGATGAAGCCCAACATCCGAAGCAACAACCCCATCCGTAGGGCATATTGCGGGAGGCACGCTGGATACACCTACTCCATCGCGTCTTTGGTGTGCCAAGACGCTATCACCTCGGTTGGCAACAACATCAACGCCGTTGGTTTCTTTCCTTTGAAAACTTGCGGCGAACCAATCAGCACGACAAGCTTGCATGCTGTACTCAAACCTCTCCGTCAAACAAGGACATGTACGATTCTTTACTCTCCCAGCCTCCGTCACACGCGCTGCCCTTGCCCCTTGCACTTCCCCCAGACACAGGGCTCGAATTTCTGACCGCGCACATCTCCCACAGACAGATGCCTTGATTACCTGGTGGCGGCCATCTTCCTCCTGAACAGTTCACCCTAGCATGTCACGAGGCTAACCGCATTCATGTCACTGCAACGAAAGACCTTGCCGCATCCCACTGCAGTCACCCTCCTTCCCAGCTTCCTCTAACTAGTAATTTCCAGGTAACACACCCAACCCCCCCCCCTCCCCCCCCATGCTTAGTACTTCCCGAAAATCACAGAACTATGTGTCGTTGTCTCTCAACTGCTGTGAATGCAAGCAAGATCAGTCACCCCCATGCGGGACCGTTGATTCCTCAGAAGGCAACACCAACCTACAAACAAAAAAAGGAACTTGCTGTATTTTCCACCCCTGTTTCTCGACTACCTCCGCCAAGAAGCCCAATTTTGCCAAAGCCAAAGCATGCTCTTCCTTCAACCCTTGCTCCGCTCCACCCACCACCGGCCGAATGAATCATGAACGAACCAATTCACCTGGAAATATCAAACCAACCAGCGAGGCCCTCCATCCCAGGGACGCGTCGAAGGATCCATGCCGTTTACCCCGCTCGCCCGGCATAAATCAAACAGACACCAAAACACCGTAAAGTACACCATCTCGATGACGAACTTGCTCCCAAGAGTTTGGAGAAAATTGTCATCGAAGCGCCCTCTCCTCACACGCCCCCCCAACACTCCCCGGCACGAACGAACGAACTAGCCCCACTAAACTCTAAAAAAGGCCGGAATGTGCTGTTCCTACGGTACCCACAACTGCTCCTCGGAGGAAAGGGAGGGGACACAACGCCACCTTCCCGGGGCCAGATTGGACACAAGTCACCATACCTTCACATCATCCCACACACAAACTATCGATGAGTGGTGCAATCGAAATGACAAGGCGGCACGCGGCCACAGCCCCCTCCGCCGTACTTTGTTCCGTCACAAGCCCTTGGTTTCCATCCAGCCGCCAACCAAACCCTCTTCGTGCGGCCTTACAGCTACAGGAAAGACACCCCAGCCGAGTCCACAACCGGCATCAACGTCTCTCTCGCCCTCTCTCTTTCTGTCCTCCCCTCGCAAGATATGAGACCCTCACGCCTTCACCCACCCAGCAAATGTAAGTGGTAAAAGTGTCTTTAGAATAACGCCATAACGACCGAGCCCGGCAAAGGAGAAGGACAGAGACAAGCCTTCGTGCTTTGCTCACGAAGCGTCTGCCTATGCAGATGGTGAAATCACCCAAACGAACCACGAACCACAAAAGAAAAGAGTAGGAAATTCACAACTTCTATTCGAGTTGCCGCATGAAACAGGCCAGGGGTGACGGGGCGGACGCGGCCTTGTCGTGACTCAGCCTGCAGCCTGCCCTATGGTGCCATCGTCGTGGTCGTCTTGGAGTAAGGGTTTCTTAGAGGGAGGGGAAGGCCTCATCATCCTTGAGGTTCAGCGGCGCGCTCGTGCCTGCATGTTGCGTTCAGGAAGAGAGAGAAATAAAATCGGTGGCGGATGGGACAACAGGGAGACAGATTTAGGATCAGCCGGTTCGATTTCGATTTCACTTCATTTAGGACTGTAATTGCGTCACATCATTTCACGCTCGTGCCTGTGTTTTCCGTTGAGGGAGGAAAGGGAGTGGGCGGTGGATGAACAAGGATCGAGGAGGGAATAACGCAAAGGATAGCATGTCTGCGCAACCCAGCCTGCCTGGCCTTGCCCGGCCAAGGGCTGCGAAGGAAACCTACAAGCTAGTCGAGAGCCGGCAGTCCCGTCGCCACATTGCGGCGTGTTACAATTCGTTTACGGTAACTCCAGGTGTAGCGCTAATCGCCGCCATATGTGTATCTCTCCTTGCAGACACATGTACAGTGGGGGGGGGGAGGGGAAGGGGGCTGTTTGGTGCCCACAGAATTGACCGGAAATAGAAATGGTTATGGCCCTTTGAGGGTATAGAGGGAGCTCGACTCTTACATTGGGACTGACTTGTTGAAAGAAAATGTGTTTTAGCAAAATACCTCCGCAATCAACAATACATTTGTTTCGAGTATTGTAAGAAAATTCAGTTTTGGGGACGCAATAAATACAGATGTACCGAACAATCTCACGATTCAAACGTACAGAATGACGCGGCGATTCAGTCTGGGCCAGAACGGAGCCGCTTACTGTACCCACTGTACACGAAACTCAATCGCTCTCACTTCTCGCAGATACTCGTGACTGCTGCACACAGCTAAGAACTATACTCGAGTATTCTCCTTGGTTCGCCGGGCTGATCGAGTCAAAATCACGACAGCTGGTTTTGTAAGCTGCGTACTGAGCTAGGGAAACTTCATCACAGCTGTAGCTTGGTCCTCTCGCATCACCTTTATCGGTTGGTGGCACTACTTTGCACTCATCTCTCCTCTCTCATGACCCCACTCAAAGTAATCACTTGTACACGTGTAAAGTCAAAACCTCTGAGAACGGACCTGGCTTGTGGCTAAAAAAAGTGTCATAATGAAGCCGGGTAAGCGTCCCGGAGGTTCATTCCCCTCCTTATGCTGTACATGCTGCGAGGCACCATGCCTGTGAAGAAAAAAGCTGTCCCTCACCAGGGAATTTTCCGTAATTTTGGTGTCCTCAACCGAGGCAAGACTGTTATACAACCTATCAAGAAACAAAGAAACAAACGAAAGA